CAATAGAATTATACTCCATAAGGCTTTAAAGTGACAGGTGTTATCTGACAGGAGATCACCTACCTTTCTTTGAGGCATAACTGGGTAGATTCAAACCACCAATCTTTTAGTAAGTTGTTGATTACCTTCAAGTTGAGCACAGCTCATAGTGACCTCATGAACAAAAGGCCTAAAGCCCCTCTACAACTATCAACATTTATCAGAGTTCATAGAGTTTCCAGAGGCATGTTGTTTAGCAAGTGGATTGAGCAGTAAAGAGAAACAAACTAGACTGATAACCATGCAGATGAACCTCAAACATTACTCTAAGTTGAAATAAGATGAACATGAAAATTCAAATACTATGTGATTTCACCACTGGGCCAATTGGCAGCACCATGATAGATGGAGAAGAGATTGAGGTTGTTAATAATTACAGCTTGCTTGGCTCCAACACTCTTGGCATCAGCAGTCAGGAAATCAAAAGATTGATTGCACTGAGAGAATCTGCTCTCAAGGATCTCTCTAGAGTACTGAAAAGCAATGATGTCCATGTAGAGACAAAGGTGCGCCTAATCCAAGTCATAGTCTTTGCCATTAATTGCTATGCATCTGAGAGCTGGACAGTGGCAGAAAAATTTATGCCTACAAGTTTTGGTGCTGGAGAAGAGTCTTGAACACACCATGTACTACCAAAACCCCTCAAATCTTGCTTGGAGAGGGTGAAACCAAGTTTTTCCTTGGACATTAGGATTTAGAAGCTCCATCTCACATACTTTGGGCATGTGGCAGGTTTGGTGTTTGGAGAAGGACATCATGCTTGGAACAAAGGAGGAACAGCACAGGAGAGGAAGACCTCAGATAAGATGGATTAATACAGTAACTTGGGGGAATGGGGTTAGGTGCCTTGGAATCAGTAAGACTGGCTCAGGACAGGGCACGATTCAGAGCTGCTGTACATAGGGTCACTGTGGGTCCCAGGCGATTCAATTGCACATAACAACAACAACAAACATACGATTTCATCACTATGAAATTTCTAGAAAAGGTAAAATTGTCAACAGGTCTGTGTTTGCTAGAGTTGGAGGTTGGTACAAGGACTAACAGAGAGAACCACAAAGAGAATGTTTGAGGTTGTTTGAAATGTTTTTAGATGGATTATGATGTTGGGTGTACAATCAGTATAAAAATAATGAAAACCAAACAGTTCAACTCTACACTTACAATTAATTATTTGCAAAAGCAGATAAATACATCTCAATAAAGCAATTTTGTTTTGGTTTCAAAAAGACAGGGTGAAAGCCAGAAAGACAGACTATTTTTGCAAACATGTTTTTGGACTCTTTTCTCCTAAATTAAGGATTAATGTCCCTTTCTCTTCCTGTCTTCCTGGTAACCGACAGTTTCAAATTGAAAATATAAGCCAAAAAACAGCCAGCTAATCAACAGTCTTCCATAGAAAGTTCCCAGACACGTGTGACTCTTTCAATATATATGAAACAAGGAAAGATACTGCATGGTGTTTTGTATTAAAGGAAGAGCTACAAACAAATTCCCTCTCTGGAGACACAGTTTCACTTGTGTTAGCAGCAACCATCTCTTTGTTAGAAGTAGAGTCTGTTTATTGCTACTGCCATGGTTTTCCAGAAGTAAGAAATAATGTCATTCACTTCACAAATTTGTATGATTTCATCCCAGTTACCTCCCAAAGCCAGAACCAAGATTCTTTTCATATTTTACCCATAATGGAAATTCTTAGATCAGTCAAATCATATTTAAGTTTACCAGTGTTATCCATGTCAAACATATAAACCACATCTTAATTTGCTAATAACTATGTCTACCATATGGAAGGTATTGTCTTTTACCGTAATAGCTATGTTGCTATATTTTTACAAAATCACTGGCTGTCCTTTGAGAATACAATCCATACCACCAAATGACCTTGTTTCTGGATTGTTTTTGTTGTTGTTAGGAGCTGTCAAGTCAGCTACTATTCATAGCAACCCAATAAACAACATATCTGAACCTTGCCCTATCTTGTGTCATCCTCATTATTTCTGATATGCTTTGAGCCATTGATACAGTCCCTCTGTCAGTATATCTCATAGCCGACCCTCCGCCTTTTCCAAAGCCTGGCCTTTCTTAAAAACAAGCCCAAAATATGTGTGATGAAGCTTCCCCATTCTTGCCTCCAAGAGCACCCTGGCTGCACCTTTTGGTCAGTCCATGGGATATACAGTACTCTTCTCCAACATTACAATTCAAAAGTATTGATTCTTCTTCTGTCATCCTTAGTCATTGTCCAACTTCCATATATGCATAGTAAATAATTTAAAAGACAATGATTTGAATCAGGTGTACTTTAATTCTTAAACTGACGTAATTATTCCTTAACACTGGATAGAAGACCAGATGAATGACTTGTGGTATGACATCAAGGATAACACCCATGAAGAAAAGGAAAAGGCCATTAAAAAGATCAAAATGGATGAGAAAGAAGTCTCGGAAAATTGCACTAGAATGCTAAGAAGCCAAAATAAAGAAATAGAGAAGTAAAAGAGAAGAACAGATTTCAAAGAGCAGCTCAAGAAGACAAGACAAAGTATAACTAAGTGTGCAAATAGCTGGAGTTCCAAAATATAAAGAGATGATTTATTTTGTTCAGCATTTCTCAAGCTGAAAGAACTGAAAAACAAATTCAGGCCTTGAGTTACAGTAGTGAAGGATGCTGCTGCTGCTGCTGCTGCTGTTGTTATTGTTGTTGTTGTTGCATGAGAGGAGATTGCTCATCTTTCTCCTGCAGAGCAGCTGGTGGATTCAAACCACATGCTCTTGGGTTAGCAGAGCAACTCCTTACCACCAACCCACCAGAGCTCCCCTGAACTATATATACTATCAACAAAATCTTGAATGTTCCAGAAAGCATCAAAAGAAATGGAGGAATATACAGTCACTATACCAAAGATAATTGACTGACACAGAACCATTTCAGGAAGTAGTATATGATCAGGAATCAATGGTGGTTAAGGAAGGAGTTCAAGTGGCAGCAAAGGCCTTGGCAAACAAATAAGGCCCTAGGAATTGATAGGATACCAATTGACGTGTTTCAACAAACAGATGCAACCCTGGATATACTGACCAGTCTATGCCAAGAAATTTGGAAGACAGCTACCTGGTCAACTGACTGGAAAAGATCCATATTTGTTCCCATTTCTAAAAAAGGACATCCAACAGAATGTGGATATTCTCTAACAATAGCATATATAAAACATGCAAGTAAAATCTTGCTGAAGATTAAAAAAAAAAAGCTAGACATCAACAGAGAACTGCCAGAAATTAAATCTGGATTTAGAAGAGAACCAAGGATATCATTGCTGATGTCAGATGAATTGTGGCTGAAAACATTTGACTTTGTGGATCATAATAAATTATGGCTGACATTGAGAAGAATGGGAATCCTTGAACATTTAATTCTGCTCATGTGAAACTTGCATAGTTGTCCACTCATGGCTTAAAATCAGGAAAGATGCCTGTCAGAGTTTTATCCTTTTTCTGCATCAGATACAGCATCAGCATTTGAGGACCTTTCAAAACCTTTGTTATGCAGATGGCACAACCTTGCTTATAGAAAGTGAAGAAGATTTGAAGCACATCTACAGAAGATCAAAGACTATACAGCCTTTAATATGGGTTACACTTCAACATCAAGAACATTAAAATCCTCAACACTGGACCAGATAGAGAAAAAATTAAAGTTGTCAATGATTTAATTTTACTTGGCTGCATAATTAACTCCATGGTAGCAACAATCAAGAAATCAAAAGCCGTATTATATTGGGGAAATTTGCTGTCAAGAACCTCTTCAAATTTCTAAAGAACAAGAATGTCAGTTTAAAAACTAAGGTGAACCTGGTCAAAAGACCAAGTCCTGGTCTTTTCAGTTGCTTTCCAGGCATATGAAAGATAATGAACACAGAAGACTAAAGAAGAACCAATGTCTTTGAATTGTGTTGGCAATGATGGTGAAACCTCATCTCAGTTACTTTGGATATATTCTCAGGAGGAATCAATCCTTGGAGATAATCTTCATGGAGGGAAAGGTGGAGGGTTAGAGAAAGAGAGGAAGACCCTCAAAAACTGTATTGATACAATGACCACCACAAAAGGCTTGAGCATGACAGAGATTGTGAGGATGGGACAGAGATTGTGAGGATGGTGCAAGACAGGGCCAGGTTCATATCTTTTGTTCATCGGCTCGCTGTTAGTTGTACTTGATCTGATGGCACCTAACAGCATATAGGATCTTGTGACCTTGTAAAACTTATATTGTTTGATGGTTCTACTTGTAGTCAGAAGATGTTATTGAGTAAAATCTGTGGGCTTACTATGTAATGAAGTCTTCTGATCAATATAGCCTTTATTGTAAATATTTGAATTCAAATGGAACTCTCTCTAGATACTTAGATACTTCCTACCCCCTTCTATCTGCCCTCATATATAAAGACTTTCAGAAAGTGAAGGCTTCTGTTTTCATTGTTGTTGTACTGTTATTTTTCCTTTTTTGTGGAGGGAGGGATTGGTAATGTGACCAACATTGTCCAAAAGAATGAACAATAATCCTATTGTCTTTGAAATAAATGAGTTAACATATAGTTTTATATCTGTTGGTTGAAAGTACTTTCTAAATTAACAGCTTATAATGACAATCTAGTGGTCTTTTGTAGATGTCCTCTTTTATTCATTAAGAACTACTAACAATATTTTAAACAGTCAAAATAAAAACATTTTTAAAGGAAACCAAGAATGCCCACTTCCATAGTTGGATTTGACTATCTAGTTTTCTGTTGTTTAACATATGTATGAGAAACACACATTCTTGGTTCCTGTTTGCTATGCTTAATTTGCTGTCCCATCAACCTTATCCTAGCACTTTTCTCTCTAACCCCTCTCTTTTTCTTTCTCTGATCTCTCCCTGTCCCTTCTTTGTCCTTTTCTTCTTTATTTCTTGTCCATTTAAGATGTTCCAGCAGAGGATGACCCTTCTCCATGTGCTCTGGAAACTGGTCATGGGCGCCAGTGCCAGAATGGTACCGTGTGCAGACCTGGATGGGATGGGCCCAAGCACGGAATCACCAACTTTGACAATTTTGCCTTCGCCATGTTGACGGTGTTCCAATGCATCACCATGGAGGGATGGACAGACGTCTTGTACTGGGTATGTTGCTTCAAACAGGCATCTGGGGGGTGAGGAGTCTAGGGAGATATAAGCCTATCCTTGGCATCTTTCTGTGATAACTTTAATAACTCACACACCCTCATGAAATGGTTGATGTGTCCCTTTGATTTCTTCCAGGTATTATGCAAGAAACAAAGCATGAACTTTTCACCTTAATGCATTCTGTGTCCCTTCCTATTAGGCAAACAGAAATCTCATTTTTCACTTTATCATACTATAGTGAGAAGCACTGACATGCAATCAACGTTTCATGAATTAGCTGGCTAAGCCTAGAAAAAGGATTCCATTCACTTCCTTATGTCATTGTAGAGTTCTACTTCTGCTTGCCCTGCTCTTTCTATACAAGTGAGCTAGAGGACAAATTCTCTGGGAATAATTTTTTATTCTTAAGACTAATGAGAAAAAATAAATGAACTGTCTTCATTGAATTTTAAATTTTGACATTATCTTTTTATTTTCCATATTAATCTTGCCTTAGCATATTAGAATAGTCCGTCAACCAAATACCTTATTTTCTGCTAACAAAACAATCTGCTGTTTATGTGATACAAATTTAGGAATACTTCTTGAGGCCAACCAATCAACAGTAAATCTTTTACTTTGAAGATACACATATTCCCAGCCAGAAGCTAACACTGTTAGCCTTTGAACATCGGCGTGCCCACCAATTTTCTATATACAGAGACACACATAGTGTGTGAGCTGTCTCTACTCTGGCAGAGTCAAGTCTATTATTTGTTAAAACTCCAGGAAATACAGTTATTTGTAGTATTTCCTACTTCAGCATAGGAAACAACTTGCCAAAATCCAGGTTTGTTCTCCAGCATTTGGGCAAATAATACTTGTTGCCAATCTTCAAAATACCATTCCTCCTAGAGTTTTGAAAATAGTCAAATCTATTTGGCCATCGTGAAAACAGCTCAAGCCTGCTTAGGAAGCAGTATTTACAAATGAAACCAGGGAAGAGTGAGAGAGAAGTCTTCCCAATGAACACAGCTGCCAGATAAGATGGAGTCAATGCCAAGAGAAGTGTTGGCTTCTTTCTTAATCAGAAGGAAGAGTTTGTAACAGTGGAGTAAGATATCATGTCAGCAGATTTTTTTAAATAAGCACCACGTTCTCTTGATGCAAAATGGCTTTATTTCTCAGTTTTTGTCACTGACATGCCAAAACTTGGTGTTGCTATAAAATGTATGCATTCTGAGAATGACTACTTGAAACTCGGGCAAGTTTCATGTATCTGGCTAATATTTATGAAGCATCTTTTGCATGCCATGTATGGTCCTAGAAAGTGTTATTCAAATATGAACAACATGTAATTAAGACTGAGAAGCTCAGTCTAGGGAAGTGGACAAAATTCCAAATTGAGTAATGATGGCAACCTAGAGTCCTGTCATGCCATGTTGTGATACCTTCAAAAGAAAACGAAGGTCAAATCACACCTGCTGCAAACTACAATAGAACGTTGGAAAACATGTCTTGGGCTCGTGCTCAATGACCACTTGGTTTTGAATAATACAGAGAAAGGAAATTGAATTGATTACATTTATCAAAGCAGAGGACATCTCCCAAATGACCCCAACTGGTCTGGTCCTTTCACCTTTAGGCGAGCTAAATGGGCAGGTTTCTGCCAGCGGTCATAGAACATATGCTCGTTTGGGACTTTTCTTTGGAGTCTCATCCAATGAGCTTCAAAACCAAACCTTAAGTTGCTATGGCAATGCTTTCCATGGCATTAAATTGAGGGCAGAGTGTTAGTGGGTTGGCGGGTGTGGGGTTGGGACGAATAGGTATAATTTACTTGTTGATGGCCCTGATGTATTTTTGTGATCTTCCCTCCTCACTCCCTCTCTTTCCCCCACCATAAGTCATTGATCCCCCCTCAGCCAGATGTGACCCACGGAAACACTGTCACAATGACAGCCAGAGTGGGGAATGCAAAGAAGCACACAACGGCAACTACCAATTTTCAGCAGCTGTGTTGTGCTTTCTCCCCTGGGGTGTGTGTGATAGAGCTCAGATTGGGAAAGGAAGAAGTGTCAGAGGTGAAGGAACAACCCCAGGCTCTCAGGGCAGGCTTCTCTCTCATTTTCCTAGCACCTTTCTGAAGTGATCCTATTATGTGTGTGTATATGCTCATACACACACACGTGCCGAGAATTGAGAGAGAGCCTCTCCTACTTCACTATTGATGATGGAATCACTCCCAGCCCGATTCTTGCTCGCAGAAGTGTCTCTAATTGCTTTGAACTTACCGTGACCATTCACTCCACCCTTCCTCTTCTTTACTCCCCTTTTAGCTTTCTCTTCCTTGCCTCTATCCCTCTTTTTCTAACCCTCAGATTCTTAAATCAATGTGTTTCAGTACCAAATATGGCATTTTCTAAGTATAAAGATACTCAGGTTCCCTAAGGGCCATTCAGTTAAAAATCCCAGATTTATGGCTACAGTTTCTGCATTTTTAAAAAGCTCCCCACATGATTCTCATGTCCACACTGAAGTTTGAAAACTCCTAGAAACCAAACCTATTTATTGAGTCTGCATGGTGCTTATTTGATGCCACTAGATTTGAACCAGCCTAGAGAGGTAGCTTGCACAGAATTGGGAAAGCACCCAGAAGAAAGCATTTCCCTTTTAAGCTCAAGGGTCAAATCTAGAGGACCTGAAAATATGAAACCAAGATTTTAAAAATCCTACCCTACCCTAAACAGTTAATTCATTATTCTTAGAGGAAAAGTAGTTCTCTAAAGCAATAAAGATGACAAATATTTGCCTTCTGTCAATAATATTGAATATAATTCTTTATTTCTCTAAATACATAATTGTTTTAAAAAATTAATGAATTAAAAATAAAATAAAAATTGGTCACTTGACCATTGGCCATGCATTTGATTAAGGCCTCAACTAACAATTTTCTTAAAATACCTCTTTTCTAGAAGTATGCAAATGACAGAGTAAAGTAGAGGAGGATTCTTGAGCTTTGGAAACAAATCCAAAACTCAAATTTGGTGTGTTGTATCATCAGACAATAACATCTTAAGCTGAAGTTTTTTTCACTCACACAGTGTCTAAATTTCTCTTAAAAATAAAGTGATTGGCCTTCTACAAAACTAATGAAGAACCAGAGAAGGAAATTTCTTTCTTTTCTTTTTTAAATTTATGCTTTCCAGATTTTGCTGTTGTTTGTTTGTTAGCGAAATAGTCTTTGCTTTTTATATATAATTCAAAACTTCTTGTTTTGTATTGTTTAGGCATATGCCTTTCTAACGACACAAAACATTGTGTCAAGATGATCTGATAATTCTCTATGTAGGATTCAAAAACAGGATCTTAGAACTAGAGTCAGTTTGAAACTCTTAGCATTATTCCTTCCACACTGGAGCCAGATCACAATTAGGTAGCTTAAACATCAATTAATTTCTATTCAGTGCTACCTTTTTGCTCAGCACTGGAAATAACCCTATGTTCTTGAGTAACAGAATAGCACAGCCGTTGTTTTGGAGTTTAAAACAACAGTAGAAGGTCATTGGTAAGACTAGCAGGAAAAGGAGACTGCAGTTGGAGTAGGAACAACTCTAGAATACAAATATTTCCATATAAATGCCTGAATAATTCATCATCAAGAAGATTTTGTTGACCTTAGCTCCACAGTATAGTTCCAGCTCCAGGGATCTCAAGAATGTTGCATATAGGGAGCTCTGGTGGCCTAGTGGCAAGAAACTGCACTGCAATCCCAGAGGTACGTGGTTCGAATCCACCAGATGCTCTGCTGAAGAAGTAGGGGCAATCTCCTCCTATCCCAGTCAAATCTGATTTGACAGTACACACACAAAAATAATAAAATGAAATTTTAAAAAAGAATATTGCGTATCTGTGCAGAACACACTACCTCTGTCTGTTTTCTTCACCCTATAATCCTCCACACCATATCACCAACCTATCAGATCACCCTCTTCTCAAGTCAGTTTCTCTGCAGTCAGTTCTTTCACTAATTTAGAACAATTAGAAACAAGGCCAAAGAGAATATAATTGAGAAATTATAGAAGAGAAAGATTTTAGGATCACAAATGGGATTTCATTCAGTCAGCTGGAGATTGCAGAAGCAAAAGGTTTTAACCTTTTGACCAGTTGTCAGCCCCTCACTTCTCTATCTTGTCACCCTGCTTACATAGCTGAACATGGATATTTCACACACACACACACACACACAAACATACACACAGAATGAGGAAATGGCAGTCACAGATCTCTGGTGTTGGCTCTGTTGACATATCCTTTTTCTCATATAAGGCTTTTGCAGCCAATTAGACTGAGTTTGAGTGTTTTAACCTATTTTCCCATACAATCTTATCTTCAAACAATACCCTCCTTTCACTACAGAATATAGAAAATAAGTGTGAGGGAATAAAAAAAAGAAGCAGAAATAATGGAATGGATTTCTGACGGTGCCCTATAGTCATTCTAAGTGAAAAGCTGAAAGAGAAATTCTCACATAATCCAGAACCAGCCTCCTGGGCTTTCTAGCAGGTATCCTAAGAAAAGAAACCCTTAATTAGGACCTGTGCTCCTTAATTTTTAATCTTCTTCAGTTGGAATGTATCCAGCTTAGTGCACATGAACCTAAACCGTAAACCAGTGGTTTATAGACTTATCAAGAAGGAGAATTAACATCTCTCAAAACCTTATTCATTCACTGAGCCTTTTTTTTTCATTTCACTGGTAACAGAGAAATTTTTGTTAGTCAATAGTTCAATTTAGCAGTCGTTTATTGAGCATTTATTACATTCCCAGGATCGAGCTGGGGTTTGGAGGAAGTAGGGTACAAAGACGTTGAAAACTATATCCACTAAATTACACATGTGAAGAATGTTGAAACAGCAAGTGTTTTGTTACAAACATATTTAAAATTTTTTAAAACCCGACTTGAGGATCTAATTGAAGATATAAGGGCAAACAGGCTCTGATTTAGCTCACCTGGG